TTTTTTCTTTTAAAGTCAAGTCCTATTTTTTTTTTCACTCTATTGCAGAAAGTCCTTTAAAAATAATTTTCATTAATTTTTTATCTGGCGCCATCTATGGGTGGATATATGCAACTTAAATCTAAAAAAACTAAAAATTAATTAATTAAATTTAATTACTGAATTAATATTTGAAAAAACTGTATTAACATGCAGTGTCATCCACTACACGTTAAAAAAAAATGTATTTGAGCTTGAGTGGATGAATAAAAAGTATTTAATGAACGGTTGAAAATTTGAACAAGATATATATAGGGAGAGTGTCAGCTAATAGGAGGAATTGAATAATAGAAAAATTGAAATTATTTCATGGATTTAAATTTATCATGTGCGAGCATACTTTCCTGGTCGAATACACATGGGAGTACAACAATGTTCAATCACCCAAGAAGTTTATGAAGCAATGGGTCAGAAGAGAGCGGGAGTTTTGCCCGTTAGCGTTCCTCTAATTTATTTGGCGATTTGGCTCTTTCTAAACGGAAAAAATGTCCGCTGCCATTAAAAAATGCTGCTGTTTTGGCGATTCCATTTGGCAGAAAAGAGACTTGGCGAAATCTAACCCTAAAGTACCCGAATTCTAACTCTAAAATAAATGCGAATCCTAAAGTACAGAATTCTCACAAGAACTATCAAAATCAATGACGACAGGAATGCATCAAAATTTGATAACTCTAGAGAAGCACTACCCAATTTAAACAAAGAAATCTGTTAAGTGAGGCTTAAATTAACTTTTATTAACATAAACTAATCCTTAGACACTATTTTGAGGAAATTAAAGCAATGATCTGCTTATATTGTTAAAGACAATTCAAAATGAATTACGCAGCACGTGACTTGATATGGGTTCATTGTTAGATTTAGCAACACATATTTCATTCTAGCTTTAAAACACAGATGGATAAAATCACGTGAAAATCAACTTTTATTTTAAATAAAAAATTTCTCGTGTTGCGAGAGAGGATTAATCTGCCTTAAATAACATCTTAGTCTCTTATTTTTTTTTTCAATTTCTACTATTAATTCACACACTCTCTCTATATATATCTTGTTCAAATTTTCAATCGCTATTGAAATACTTTTTATTCATCCACTCAAATGCATTTTTTTAACTTGTAGTGGATGACACTTGATTTTGATACAGTTTTTTAAAATATTAATTCATTAAATAAAGTAAATTAGATTAATTAATTTTAATTTTATTTTAGATTTAAGTTTAGGTATCTAATAGATGGCGCCAGATGTAAGAGGAAAATTTCAACTTTATTTGTAAAGTTCCTGCAATATAGTGAATTCCTGCAATATAGTGAAAAAAAGCAGGAATTGATTAAAAAATTTTTTTTTTTATATTACTTGTTATTTTATAGCTTCGCTTTTTGGAGACGCCACGAACCTCTAACCGGGATAACAATATGTTCACACATGATAAAAAAAAAAAAATTTCTTTTCAATGTAAGACATGCATTATTTTGATTAAAACAGATTGAAGCCTTTGGTGTATTTTAACGAGGTATTCAAAGGACTCATAAAGAACAATGAAACAGCTACAAATGCAAGTAATAGTTATTTCCGTCAACATGCCACTAAAGAAAATACAAATTTTAAAAACAGCATGTGAGGCTATTTCATCATCTGAAATCAGCATAAAATGTGCATTACAGGATATTTCTAGAGAAGAAAAAATTACCGCGTGAGAATGAAACAATATTGTTGCACACACCAACTTATTAAGTGCTCCGTTTCTTCTCTTCTGCCAGATTGACATCCCAGCTGCGTTACAGCGCCTTTTTCATCATTGTTTTATTGGTACCGAACAATGATCAGGAAAAAGTTTAATAATGTCGATATCTGGAGGAGGCGTGACTTGAAGTGTGCGGAAGGACTATCGTCTGCGAAAGAACGATATAAAAGGGGCTTACATTGGCAATCGTGACAAACATTCTTGACAAGAATACTCGAAAAGATACTCTAGATCTTAATAAGAATACTGCAGAAATGAAGTTTGTATTTTTGGCCTTGGCTGTGGTGTTTCTGGTCAGTGACGTGCATGGATTCTTTGGGGTAGACCAGGAGGTCCAGGTGGAATGATGCGTCCTCCATTCAATCACAGAAGAGGTCCACCCTGCTTGTTTCCTGAATGCAAGGAATTTATGGATGCCGTTCACCAAAAAATGAGAGGTAGTATATTATTAATATGTTAAATAATTTTTTTTTATTGAGTTTGGATTTATTTTTCTAAATTCGTAGTGTTCTCGAATTTTCAGACTTCTTTTTTTCCCAAAGAATTGCAGAGATATTCCGCATTCAATCTTTAATAGATCATATTTATTTCACTACTTTTAGAACTATTTGTTTGCTAAAATTTTTTATTTTCTTCTAATGCAGCTGGCAAATAGACCGTGATCTTATATGCCATAAGGGGGTGCACCGATGTTACTCACTTTGCATTACCCAGGGGCGCGTGTAACTTGATGGTAAGCCACGGAGTAACAATGCCCCCGCAGCGCTCTACGATCCTATTAGGGAACGGGGACCGACGGCTTAAAGTGGATTCCGAACCACTATAAGCATCCATGGCACCTCCAGGAGCCTGTGGTGCAGAAAATCTCGGTGCCACAGCACTAGTAACGCCGGGATTTGAACCCGATACCTGTGGTACCGAACGCCAGAGCGTAGCCATTCGGCCGTCAGGCCCCCTGTTTGCTAAAATTAAAAGTATGCATTATTAGCATTATGATCAATAAGTCTGTTCTGTGTTATTAGTATTATTTTTTAACTATTGATATTCAAGTATAAATTTAGTCATTCGAATTACGCATTAGAATATCTATCATCATCTGATCATCGCCATAGTGTCATAGATCACATTTGCAATACATTGCTGTAATGTACGTTATAATCAATAATAATCCCATTTTTTTGAGCACTGAAAGATATGATCCGTAGAACAATATGAAATACTGTTTACCAAAATTCCAAATGAAGTCGTGCTTGCTTTACAATAATACAAAGTAAGCTATAACACAAGTTTTATAGAAAAGTTTTTAGTCCAAAATTAAAAAAAAATTTCCCTGCGAGTTAATGTGGGGTGTTCCGAAACACAAATGCAAGATGCGAATATACTAGGGATGTTCCATTAACATATTAAATGATATTTTGTCAATGGTCTTTTATTTATTAGGTATTATTTAAAAAATTTAAGTGTTAAATTGATGTAAGAGAAATTAAATATTTACAAGCAAAACACAGATATGTAAGTAGGTATACCTTCATAAATAGAATCGGTCATAAATGCTGACATCATTAAGTTATTAATCAATAATCTATATTATATATATTCATATATCTATCATATAATCTAATTATATGTTAGTATATCATATAATTAGTTATTAATCATATAATCATATAATCATATTAATCATAATATCAATATTAATATCATATAATCTAATTATTATATAATCTAATATCTTAAGGTAATATCATTTAAACGAAATAGTTCGGTAATTATGGTAATTCGGTATGCTTTACAATAATACAAAGTACTTGCTATAATACAAGTTTTAGTCCAAAATTAAAAAAAAAAAAAAATTTCCCTACGAGTTAATGTGTAATTATGGTAATTCGGTATGCTTTACAATAATACAAAGTACTTGCTATAATACAAGTTTTAGTCCAAAATTAAAAAAAAAAAAAAATTTCCCTACGAGTTAATGTGTGGTGTTCCGAAACACAAATGTAAGATGCGAATATACTTGGGATGTTCCATTAACATATTAAATGATATTTTGTCAATGGTCTTTTATTTATTAATTATTTAAAAAAATTTAAGTGTTAAATTGATGTAAGAGAAATTCAATATTTACAAACAAGAACATAGATATATAAGTAGGTATACCTTCATAAATAGAATCGGTCAGAAATGTTGACATCATTAAGTTATGGTATTAATCATATAATCTCGATATCTTAAGGTAATATCATTTGAACGAAATAGTTCGGTAATTATTTTAAATAGTAGCATTTTTTTTTTCTTTTTGTTGGAGATTTTTTAACCGGTTTTGCTGTTTTTATAGAAGAATTTGAATCACGTGACATAACCACGTGACTTTTTGTATCACGTGAGGCAATTTTTACTTCATGAATGATAACAACTACAATGTAAATAAACTAATACAATATGCTCGAAACTTACTTGAAATTCAGTTGTGAATGTACAGGAAAAAAATAATTATGACTTTTTCACATACTATACAGAAATAAAAAATTTAGTTTGTTTGTTCTACATCGATGGGTCTCCTAATGTATATACCACGAACAATCCACAGAAAGATGATGAATTAAAGGCGTTATCTTTTTGGCTTACTTTTAGGGCATTTGTATGCTAAAGTTTGTATCCAAAACTGGGCATTTGTATCCAAAACTGTGTGTTTGCATTTTTTCAACGTTAATCTAACTATTTTTAAAATATCTCAAATTTTGAAAATAATAGTCTCGTACAAGCTGCTTGTGCTACACAAGAGCGGTCTGATTAGATAAAAAAATACAAAACACAAAGATTCGTAGAAGTATTCATAAATAGAAAAAGTATATCCTTTATATTAATAACTTTTATTAAATATTTAATCAACACTTTTTTTTGTAACTAATAATTAGTGCCTTCAGTGTATATAAACATGTTTGTTGTTTCTTATCCCACCTGGCTGGCCAAGCCCACGAGCCCATATGCACTCATGATTGAAGGGGACGGAAGCAGCTTCTGTTGTGATGGAGCACCCGTAGGTAGAAGTCTGACTTTGGCTCCGTGACGCTCTTACAGTCATAGGAGACCGGGACCTACGGCTTAAAGTGGATTCCGAACCACTACAACCATCCATGCAACCACTGGGACTCGAACCTCGAAACCTGTGGCACCGAGCGCCAGACACTCTGGCCATCCAGGTCCCAAATTTGTGAATGCCAACGGCACGCGGTGTTCCCAGGCGTTCACCCACCCAAGTACTGACCGCGCCCAATGATGCTTGACTTCGGTGATCTAACGAGAACCGGTATATTCAGCATGGTATGGGCCGTTGGCATATGAACATTATACTGAAATATATAATATTTTGAAGTACCGTAAATGATAAAAAGATATGATAGAAATAGATTAGATATAGAGAAAGACCGTAAAAACGATAGAGACAGACAGTAAGTAATAGAAATTGCAACGATATAACTTGTTGATACTGTGAAAAAGTCTATCGGTTTCATCTAAATATTCGTTTATTTTAATGCGACTTTGTTTTTCCCATACAGTTATGTAAATAATAATAACAACAGATTCCTGAATCTTTTAATAACAATTTTAAGGAATCCATACGTAAATTATTAAATGCTTTTAATTTAAGTAGATTAAATTTATAAAAACTTTTAATAAAACACTTTTTTTGTTTTCCTTTAGAACTTGGAGGTGGTGAACCATGGAAAAGGAAAACCAGCAGATAATGAAGATGTAAGTCAAAATTCTAACAAACTTTACATATATATATATATATTTCTGGTCTATTGTAAAATAATAGTCTGTTAGTTTATGCATTACATTTAATGCACATCATTTACAGTAACATATTTACATAAAAGTTAACACACAGCTCAAATCATCAGCTTCTAGGTTAACACGGAATTTCTATTACCATTCCTTTGAAGTTACATAGTTCAGAAAATTCCATGAAACGACCTATTTGTTGTAAGAATCACAATCACATTTACAAAATGACTGAAGTGTTTTGCAGCAGCCAAAATTTTCATTTGTTATTAGTGAATCACATATTAGTAATAACTGAGTTAACATCGTGTTGTAACCGTGTGATATCTCAATCGTTTTTGCACTTAATTTTTAAACATCAATTTAAAATGTTTATATAGTTCATTTTGTCCATTGCGAACTTAAAATTTCCACTGTTCGTCACACTTTTATTTATATCCTGTCATCTCAAAACCATAAAATTACCGCCATCTTATTTATATATATTTATTTATTTATTTCCAATGGCAGATTATGATCAGTTACAGAACAACGAAAAATAAAAAAAAGAAAAACAACAAAAACATGCTGCAACATTAATCTAACATATCTCTAGCCTCCCAATATCGCTCGGCGAGAAAAAAAGTCTTGCTCAGAGCAGGACAGTGCAGTAGATGTAAAGTCCATAGCCTCTCCAGAGCTGCACAGAGTGCAAATTGGGAAGGAACAATTTTGAGTCTGTAAAGATGTTTACGCAGGCAGTCATGTCCAGTGGCTAGTCGGAAATGAGTGACTGCCTGCGCCTTGGAACATTACATGCCAGATTTGGGGTGACATTCTTCCAGGACTTTGGGAAACACGGTTATAGAGGTCTTCTAGAGCGCGGACTTTAATTGATCTTTTGATGAGATTTTTGATAGAGTGGAAGTGGTATAGGACGAGATATTTTGTGTGGGATAAAAGCCCCTTTAGCCAGGAAGTCGGCTTTCTCATTGCCTGGAACCCCACAGTGAGCAGGAGCCCACTGAGGACTATAGTTTTTCAAGTGATGTCAGGTTTTCAAGATGATAACGGCAATCCAATATGTCTTGGGTTTTAGGATTATTGTTAGAAACAATAGCTAACAGAGCAGCTCTAGAATAACAGAGGATAACAGCTCTTGTGAATTTTTCGAGATGGCACTGCATCTTATATTTTATAATAAACATGGTGATACAGTTACATCGTGTTTTCTTTTCTTAAACCACATATCAGGTTTTTTTTACAAACAGACTTTCCTCCTTTTATGCAAACTAACTTCCTTACAAAAGCAATGCTTTTAAGTCTATTCACTCTAGAAATATAAGGCTTTTTATAAGCACCTCGTACATATTAACATTTCTTCTATTGTTTGCTGGCTATACTAGTCGAAATATTTTCTCGAAAATTTAACTTAGTTTGCCAATTATGATGGAATTAAATGATGTTTTACTTAAAAATTGTATTTAAACTGAGGATTTGTCAATTGTGATGAGCTCCAGATCTCGGTTTTTAATTACCCTCCCCTGTTAAAGATAAATTTCTAACTATTTGGCGAATTTTTTTTATCATTCACACAAAAATACATTTATTTTTCACGCTTTTATTATAGACGCTCTCTATTTTATTCAATTCCTACTATTAGTTCACACTCTCCCTATATATATATCTTGTTCAAATTTTCAATCGTTCATAAACTTTTTTATTCATCCACCAAGTTCAATACATTTTTTTGAACTTGTAGTGGATGACACTTGGTGTTAATACAGTTTTTTCAAATATTAATTCAGTAATTAAATGTAATTTAATTAATTTTTATTTTTCTTAGATTTAAGTTGTATATAGCTACCAATAGATGGCGCCAGATATAAAAGGAAAATTTCAACTTTATTTATAAAGGACTTTTCTGCAATAGAGTGTAAAAAGTAGGAATTGGCTTTAAATTTTTTTTTTTTTTATATTACTTGTTACTACTGTATAGTCAACAAAGGAACAAGGGTATATTCTGAACCTGAGCGAAAGCCATTTTATTTGTACTGTTTTGGTTTCAATTGCTAAATTTATTTAATGAGCACATTCTGTCAGCATGGCTCTAGTGTGGTCAACACTGACTTTATATATTTTTCAACTTTCGTGAGTAGTGTTCTACTAATGATTTTGTTAAGTACCATCGCGATATGTCCTGACGAGATTCAGCGATCTGCCAACAAGTATGTAGAAGTCAACAAGCATGGTAATAGTAAAAAGATACTATACATATATATTTTCCTCCAACAGAAGTGCAATTTTAACGAAAAGATGGAAGCAAGAAATAAAGTTACTGTAGAACCATCAGACAAGTGTCTGGAGCAAGTGAAGCAGTTCTTTACTGGAACCAAAGTTATTTCAAACTACAGAAGGAACAACAACAACAACAAAGAAAGCATAAAAAGTCTGCTATTTTTTAATGTTTAATCTTTCTTATACTCACTAAATTTACAGAGAAGCACCATCCTTTATTTTGTTGGATTTAATATTATATATTTTTTTCTTGAATAAAATGATTTATTTTTGCTCGATTATAATGCTCGGATTCAATTTATTTTTACACTTTTTAAGAATTTTTTAGTGCGTGTGAAAATACGTTCGACTACGTATAACAATCAGCCTAAACACCAAAAATCATTTTTGCGTTATGCAGATAAGATTTTCATGGAAACTAACATGGAAGGGACAAATGGTAAGTAAAAGAATGTTATTGAGCTTTCTTATGCAGCAGAGGGCCTGGTGGCTAATAGCTGGCGCTCTGGCACCTGGTACCACAGGTTTCGGGTTCGAGTCCCGGCGGTGTCATGGATGTTTGTAGTGGTTCGGAATCTACTTTAAACCGTAGGTCCCGGTCTAACAGGATCGTAGAGCGTTGCGGGAATATTGGGGAGTTTTGTATTCCGGGGTATCTTTGGACGTCCGTTAAAGGCTTTTTCAGCGCGCATGCTCATAGGAAATTGCGCATGCGTATCTGTAATAATTTTTCCTATGAGCATGCGCGCTAGAAGAAAAAGCTAACGGACGTCCAAATACGGTATGCAAAAACTCTATTGTTACCCGCGTCCGTGGCTTATCTTTGTTACACGCGCCCCCTGGGTAATGCAAAGTGAGTAACGTCTGTGCAGCGCTTGCTTAAGGCATCAAAGACAAGTGTCTAAGTGTTTGCCAGCTGCATTAGAACAAAAAAAAAAAAGAATGCTATTGAGCTTTGTTATGCAGAAGTTCGTATTGTTGCCATACAGGAAATAGTGAAGGCCAATTTGACAAAGAAGAGATTTTAATGCAAAAGGGGTAAACAACATTTATAGGAATATTGATATTTCATTGTGCATTTCTTGATTCAAATAAATGTTTATTGATTAGACAGGGATCATACAATGCAATGTTGTCCTGTACCTTGCTTGATCATGTCATTTTGATTTGATTATTTGGGGCTTGATGGCCGGAGTGACTAGTGCTGTGGCACCGAGATTTTCTGCACCACAAGCCCTGAGGTGCCATGGATGCTTGTAGTGGTTCGAATCCACTTTAAACTGTAGGTCGCGGTTTAATATGATTATAGAGATTTGGGAGTAGGGCAATCCTATCCTTTTAAAAAGAATCTATCTTCTGTCTCGAAATCTGCCAGCAGACAGACGGCCTTGGCCAGACATGGGCTGTAGTGCTAAGGAGATAGTTAATTAAGTTAGGTTATTTAGATTATTATATCATAAATTATTTAGACCCAACTAAACTAATTAACTGCAGGTGCTTCAGCAATTGCTTTGCCGTTGATGTAAAAAGTATGATTTTTTCATATTTTGCTAAACCAATTAAACAAGTTATTAAAAGTATTTTTTTGTTCTAATGCAGCTGGCAAACACTTAGATAGCTTGGTCTTGGATGCCTTAAGGCAATCGCTGCACAGATGTACTTCACTTTGCATGCCCCAGGGGGTGCGTGTAACTTGAAGATAACCCCGGACAATGCCCCCGGAACGCTCTGCGATCTTATAAGGACCGGGGACCTACGGTTTAAAAGTGATTCCGAACCACTACAAGCATCCATGGCACTGCCGGGACTGAACCCGAAACCTGTGGTACCGAGCGCCAGAGCGCTAGCCCCTCGGCCATTCACGCCCAGTTATTAAAAGTAGGAAATGGATAAGAATAAATTCCTTCTAATTTCTAAAAATGTTAAAGCGTTTTTTTTTTTGTTTAAAATATCCACTATTTTATTAAGACCAACTATCAACAAACCACATTTCACAGTACTTACATAAATGCAAAAAGCAAGCTTCCTTGTATAAAAAGAAACATTATTTTTAAGAACATCATTTAAATATGAACAGCACATTTGAATTTAAAAAATATGAGCTCGCAGTGCTATGTCAGTTTTTATGTATCTTTTGCAAAAAGTAAAAAACATTGCCCATTTCATTTTTAGATGTAGCTTTCTTCACGGTAACCATGGAAACGGTGTTCCTAAAACGCGGAAACACAAAACCCTATTCAATCACTTTATAATTCATTTTAGAGAG